GCACAGCCTGCTAGCTCTCTCCAGAAATCAAACCCTAGAAATTTTACAGAGATTTTTTAAAAAGCTTAAGAGATCTCAGAAGTTTTTAATCACAAAACTCTGAGACATCTTAGGCAGAGGATGGTTGATGTTTAGCACTGAATTAATAAAGCCCCTACAAGTGAAAGAAGGACTGTGTCAGAGTATAGAACTACCTGTGGGAAAAGAAAACTTTCTTCATAGGCCCTTATCTCTCCCTCACATCAGGAAGAAAAACAGCAGCACCATCAAGAGCCAACAGGTTTATGCAAGTACAGCACAAGAACACAGATGAGGCAAAAATTGATAACCAATATAGAAGAGCTGGCCAGCCCCTGACCACTCTCTTTCCTTCACTTCTCCCCTGAGTATCTGGCAGCATTTATATCTAAGGGTGGTAGTACCTAGAAAGGAGCAGTAGCTGAGGTAGAGGGAATAGGGGTTTGCTGAGAAGTAAGACCACCCAAGAGAGAAGCAAAGAGGGAGTAGATAATCCCTGATTGCAACATCAGAAGCTCTAGACCCTTAAAAACAACCCCAATATATTCCCTAAACCTATCTGAAGTCTTGAAAGTTGTGGTTCAGGCTTTCACTCTTCCCTAAGCCCTTCATATAACTACACAACAGTGAGGAACTAAGGTAGCTTATAGTTCCAAGGGAATATGAGATCTTGAGGAGCGGTAAGAAGAGGATAAAATGGTGTGAACAAACAAGCACTCTGAAAAGAAGTATAAAAAAACTAAGCCACCTTATAAAAATGAAGCAAAATCAGTGTCAATGGCCCAAATAACAGTAAGAACTCAAAAATAAGCATAATAAATATTCCCAACAAAAGAAAGAATATTGGAAACACAAAGCCAAGTACTTACAAATAATAACCAACTTAAGATATTAAATATAAAAGAAATAATCTTTAACATACAAAACACAATGGATTGGCTAAATGGCAGAAGGGATACAGCTAGAGGATCAATTCATTAGCTACATGGTTAAGCCAAGGATTCCTCCAAAAAGACACCAACAAGATAAAAAGATTTTATTTATTTATTTAGTTTAACCCACCTCCTACATAAGATAAAAAGATTTTAAACAATAGATTAGCCGTTAAAATATGTAGAGAACAGAAACAGAAGCTTAAATATCTATCTAACAGAAGTCTCAGAATAAGAGAAAAATTTAATGGGGGAGGGCAGTATCTTAAAAAATAATTATCAAATATTACCTACAATTAAAGAAATACATAAAACCTCAGACTGAACTGGCTCAGATTCAATCAAAACATAAACATATTCTGATGCAACTTAAGAACAAAGTCAAGAGAAAAATTTAAAACTTCCAGAAGGAAAAAAGATCACAGAAGAACAAAGATTAGACTGATATCAACAATTAGGAAATAAGAAGGCTGGGCACTTTGGCTCATGCCTGTAACCCCAGCACTTTGGGAGGCCAAGGCAGGTGGATCACTCAAGGTCAGAAGTTCGAAATCAGCCCGGCCAACATGGTGAAACCCTGTCTCTATTAAAAATACAAAATTAGCCGTGCACAGTGGCACTTGCCTGTAGTACTAGCTATTTGGGAGGCTGAGGCATGAGAATTGCGTGAACCCAGGAGCCAGAGGTTGCAGTGAGCTGAGTTGGTACCACTGCACTCCAGCCTGGGTGAAAGAGCAAGATCTGTCTCAAATAAATACAGAAAATAAAATATAGAAATGAGACAAAGATGATTATTGTCAAAAGTCTAAAGGAAACATGGCCTTTGAACTTGCTATTTTATAGTCAGCTAAAACAACTATCTGTATTTGAGATTGAAATGAGATACCCTAAAACATCAAATAACTTGCAAAACCAAATACGCAAAGATTTCTTTGAAAGCACCCTAAGAGAAAATATTCCAATATACAGAGAAAGCCAAGAGATAAATGACTTATGAAATAAGAACAGAAAAATAATTCTAAAGTCTATTTAACTGAGCTATCACACACAATATCTATAACAGCCTGTGACTAAGGACAATTGTGGTTGGTTCGCTGGTTGGTTTGGGGAAGGAGGCAGAGAAAGAGAGGAAAGACACCAAAGGCAGATAAGAATGTTCTAAAGTATTAGAAGTGTGGCCGGGCATAGTGGCTCATGCTTGTAATCCCAACACTCTGGGAGGCTGAGGTGGGTGGATGACTTGAGGTCAGAAGTTCAAGACCAGCCTGGCCAACATGGTGAAACCCTATCTCTATTAAAAACACAAAAATTAGCCAGGCATGGTGGTACATGCCTGTAATCCTAGCTACTTATGAGGCTGAGGAAGGAGAATCACTTGAACCCAGGAGGCAGAGGTTGCAGTGAACCAAGATTGTGCCACTGCACTCCAGCCTGGGCAACAGAGTGAGACTCCATCTCAAAAAAAAAAAAAAAAAAAGTATTAGAGGTGTAAGTTAGAAAAGGAGAGAAGAAGAAACCATGATAAACAGAAATAAGTTCTAATAAAACAGTAATTATAAATACGTAAATTAAGTTACCAAAAAAAAGATATACATTGGGTGCTTTCAAAATTAAATCCATTAGTGTGTTATCAAAAGGGCATTTCAAAACGTGAATACAAAAGGTTAAAAATAAAGGGAGAGGCCAGGCACAGTGGCTCACACCTGTAATCTTAGCACTTTGGAGGCCAAGGTGGGTAGACTGTCTGAGCTCAGGAGTTCGACACCAACCTGGGCAACACTGTGAAACTCATCTCTACTAAAATACAAAAATTAGCCAGGCATGGTGGTGCGTGCCTGTAATCCCAACTACTTGGGAGGCTGAGGCAGGAGAATTGCTTGAACCCAAGAGGCAGAGGTTGCAGTGAGCCGAGATCAGCCACTGCACTCCAGCCTAGGTGACAGAGCAAGACTCCATCTCAACAAAAATAAAAATAAAATAAAAATAGAAAGAAAAAAAGAAAAGATGTTACAGTGTTAACCACAAAGAAAGGTGGGATAGGAACTTAAAAAGCAAATTAAAACATTTTTATTTTATTTTTAAAAATCTAAGTGAAAAAATAAGATTACATAGTAGCTAAAAAGAAAACATTATTTTTTTTTTGACTTTTAGTTTAGGTTTGGAGGTACATGTGAAGGTTTGTTACATAGGTAAACACGTGTCATGAAGGGATACACATTTTTAAATACATTACAATCATGAATACCTTAACGCCCAACAATGTGGCACTGAAATACTTTGAACAAGAACCAAAAGAACAACAGGGACAAATAGGGACAAACCTATCTACTTCAGATATATGTAACAAAAATATCTCAAAGACTGATATACTGAACCAACCAAAACCTAAGCAAGTTTTAGATATATCTAAAACTCTACACCAAGAAAACTGAGAATATAATTTCTTTTTGAACTTAAGAAGGCCATCACAAAAAATCAACCATGTATTGTATGCCACAAAAGAAGTCTAAATAAAATGCTGAGGAAATCAGAAATCATGAACTTTAATTTATTTGACCTTCATTATAGAAATATCTTTCTTGGATACTTGAAAAATATAAACTATTTCTCAGCAAAATAAAGAGAAGTTCAAAGAATATTTTGGTGACCTGAGGGAATACTAGAAGTGGAGACAAGCCAGATAAGGCAAAAAGTCTTCTAGCATCGAACTTTAGAAAAGAGGTTTAAAGATGATCTTAATTACAGACCCTTAACCTACATTTACTAACAGTGAGAAGAAATAAACCTTTACAGGTTAAAGTAGAAGTTGCATTGTGGAAAGGTAAATTCTTACTATATTACTGCCCTTTTATATGCAAGGCTTACTTCAACCTTCTGGAAGAACTTATACTATTTATGCAATTCCATTTAAGAAAATGTTTCAAACCAGGGCTCCAGTGGTTCTTAAGCCATGTGAAGCATCATCAAAACTACATCTTCATCCAGCAGGACAGAAAGAAACAATGCCCAGATGTCCCTGAATATCTTCTTCTCCAAATTTCTAGCAAGCTTATTCCCTGCAGTCCACAACAAGATCGATATTAGCTACTGGTCAGCTTAGAACTAGAGTAACTGACCAAAGCAGTAAAAATTCAAAGATACATAAAAGGTAAGAGGACTAGAAGAGAAAAGATTAAAGAGTTATTGTTTTCAAATGTTTTCATTTGAAATGAAAACATTTGGAAACACAGAAAGCACAGACTATCAACAGACAAATGAGAACTAAAAGAGAGGTCAGCAGAGTTGCCAGCGAAACATTAGTATGTAAAAATCAACAGTGTTCTTCTATTCAATCAAAAATAGGAAATGAAAAGATAATACTCATAAAAGCAATCAAAAGCATAAATAAATAAAAGTTAAATTAAGAAAAAAGCATGAGGACTTATAGAGAAAATTTTTAAACAATATTAAAGGACAAAATAAGTTCTGAATAAGTAGAGAGAAATACTACTATTAGGTGAAATGACTTAACATTGTCATGTTCATTCAACCCAAATTAAAGTCATTGCTGAGCTGGCAAGACAGGGCTGAAGACAAGATTGCACCATATCATACAGCTACATGTACTACAGTACTCTAGCCTCTGATCACATCAGGGAGAAACTTCCCTGGTCATGGAGCCTAAAAACCCTATAGTTTAAGGATCAGAGTTGATCCCTTCTCCCCCTAACACGTGGTCCTACTACATTTTCTGCTAGAATGCAATGGATGACAGGGACCCACATACCTGCTACTGCTCCCGTCTCCATTAATTTCCCCAGTGAATACAGATGTAGCAGGCCTGGAGTCCCTAGCCATTTTACCTTGTTTGCAAGATAGATATACATATATACGTAGCCACAAAATATATTAATATAAACTTTTAATCCCATTAAAAAGAAATTAGAATTCAGAGAACAGGAAAAATGTTTGCAACCATCACAGAACAATCTAAAATCTAATGTAAATGCTAATTTCACTTCTTAAATAAACTTGCAATTTAACTATATTTAATGTATCTTTAATTCCAACCTGCAATGTTTTTAAGCGTTTATTAAGAGATGACTCATCAACTTCCAGAATAAAATCTTCTACTGACATGTACAGCTTCTGCTGCATTTCATTTCTTTGGGCAATCAAAATATTCCCTTCATTCTGGAGGAAGAAAAAAAGAATAACCATCATTAATACATCGGGTCTTTTCTGCATATGACCTATTTGAATAAAAGTGATCTCCAAAATTTAACTTTATATTCTCCAAACATAGTAGCATTTAGGACAGTTCTCTCCTTAGAGCAACAAAATGACCAAAAAAAAAAACTTTCTTTCTCTTAATTAAAAATAAAACATTTAAGTTCTACAACTCTGATCTGCTAATTTTTATTTTTCCCATTATTTCTGCAACAATGAAATTTTTGGGGTTTTTTTAGAGAAAATTATGTAAGTTCCTACTAACTATATATGGCCTCTTTCCTATTCCCATCCCACTCGCAACTCCTTCAGCTACTCATCCTTCAAGATACACTTAAACACCAGGATAAACCTTCCAATTTGTCCACTAGGCTGTGTTTGGAAATACATATGTGAAAGATATCCAAGAACTCTACGCATTTTCTTCATTATAGCACTTACCATACTGTATTAAAACTATATATTAACATATCCATCCCGTACCCAAGAAAGAAAGAAAGGATCATGTCTTTTAAAAATTTGTATCTCTATTACTTACAACAGTGTCTGGCACATACACTTAAAAGCTTGAATTTTAGGATATTTTTTCTTGCATAAGCTCAACCAGACTATTTTACAACTATAAATAAAAAGACCTCAAGTCTATTGCTTTCATCATTTAAAAAAAAAAAAACAAAAAACATGGCAATCAAGTTAAAGAACTATGCAAAATACATGAATAAAAGTTAACAGTTCTAAGCCAAATTAAGTACAATAAGGGAAATAAAATAACAATTTCATTTGAGTGGCTAGTACGATTGTATATTTAGCCAATAATCTACTCTTCCATCTATCAAGTAAACTTTCAGTCCAGAAACACAAGCAGTAGTAGAAAAAAATCTGCTTTCGAAAAAAGTCACATCTGTACTAATAGAATACTAAGTGCTAAAGTACCATCCTGAATACTTTCACTATGCTCAAACCACAAAAACAAATAAGGCAGGTTTTTTTTTCATCTTATATGAAAATACATTACGAAGTATTTTAATATCAACAGTGTGGTTTAAATAGAAAGAGAACAGATCACAGAAGGGTTGGTGGTGGTGTTTAGTGACCAAATAGGGTGACTTCAGACACCTATTAAATAGAACGAGGCAGAAAGTCTTTAATTTTTTTTTAGCATAAAATACACACGACATCTCCAGTCCAAGAAATATCTACACTCTTGACGCCATATATACTGTATGATAATGTAGAAGAGTGCTGAGTCACTATCTGCGCGCCTTCGCGCTGGGAGTTGTGTTGTGAGTGCAGAGATATGGTCCATAGTATGTCCTGTCAAGAAAGCCACTGGTCTCCTTATAAACACGCCCATAGGTATACTGCCAGGCGCGTCCCTCAAAGGGCGACATGTCCTAAGTTGACAAGAGTCAATATCAACAACGCGTATTATGGTAGTTTGTAAGTTCCTCCCAGTACCAAGGGCTTGCAAATTTGACAATCAATTAAGGTTAATATTTTACCCATTAAAACATAAATGTTGCCTGGTAACACTAGCGTA